TGGCGAAAAGCGCAAGAGACGAGATGACACGTGCGGAAAAACCTGACATGGCAGATTCCCGCCTCCGCCGTGCCGATGCCTCAATGTGATCGCGGCTACAATGTAAACTTAAACTCGCGCGTGCGTAGCCCATACTGGCGCAAAATGGTGGGACTCGCACTGGTGCCCAACGCAAGTGGGGAGGAGGGCGAACGACGAAGAGAAGGAAGAGGGACAAGAAAGGCTAGAGACGGGAACACAGGCCCGCCATACAGCACGCGGTGCGGTAATCAAACACTGGGTCAAAGTGGGCGTGCAAGGGAAGAGGCGGCAGGAACGAAGGAGGGCAGAAGCGGCGGCAGCAGCGGCAGCAGAGACGGCGGAGGAACGCCGGAGCACGGAAGAAAGGAGGCGTCTGGAATAAAAAACCTCGCATGTACCCATCGAGGGTTCCCTGGCCACGAGGCGCGACACGGAATCGCGTGCCTCGCCGATCGACGCTGCAATGGAGCAGTGCGGGTTGGCCGGTTTCTGGCCGCCTGCCCCGTACGAGAGTCAGGGGTGAGAAGACAACAAGCAACCGTTGGTGAAACGGAAGCCTCTGCCTCGAATGCCCAACCCCCCCCAGGGGGGCCACAAGCCCGAGAAGGCAGAGGACCGAAACCCCGAACGACGACGACGACGGCGACGACGACGAACCGAGACGACGACGACGACGACGACGACGACGACGACGACGACGACGACGACGAGCGGGGGGGGGACGGATGAAGGAAGCCAGGAAGGGGGGGGAAGGAGCAGGAACAGGAGGGGGAAGAGGGAAGGGAGAAAAGAAGGAAAAGGGGCGGTCACCTGCCTCCCAAGGCGTGGGGCCCCTGGGGGGGAGGCAAGCAGCTGACGCCAGCTGGCTGCCAGCCAACACCGGGCAACAAATCGTGCCCCCCCTACAATGACACAGGCAATGGCGACGCAGCTGCTAGCCATGGCCACTAAAACCGGAAGTGGCCCCGGACTCGGGCAGGACCAGAGAAAAATAATGTGGCAGACATTCGGGCGGTTATAACGATACGAACTCACCTGCAAAACGTATCGGCGTTGCGCCGGGAGCAAGAACAGGCGGGGCAGAAGCAACACCAGACACAAGCAGTGGTGGGCGAAGCCTGCAGCTACGGCTGGATGCCCGCGCACTCTTTCATGGGCACGCTGATGAAGTAAGTCCTCCAGCCGACCGTGCATCGGGTGGCCGTGCCGCAGCCTGCACAGCGCCGTGTACAAAGCGTACCTGGCGATCGCCCAGACCCGGCGGTCGCGCGGCGTAGACTGCGCGAGCCCACTCAAGCTCAGCAGCCAATCGGCTGGGGCGGCCTCCGGAAGCCGCAACTTCTGACAGGTAAATTTACGGAAAACCGGGCAGTTCGCGCAGTGTTCGACGCTGTCTTCGCCCCGACCACAATGAAGAAGGCACGCCGCTGAGCGCCGCCTCCGCCTTGTAGTCCACCCTCTGCACAGGGTGCGGAGCGTGGCCGCGAAAGCGCGCGGCGTGGCGTGCGTGGGCAAATCCTGCAGGACTTCCACGGCTCGGTTCACTCGCCGGCCAGGCAGCAAAGACACAGCCCAAGAGTCGAGGCGACGACGTAAGTGACGATATGCTGCCTCCGCGCGGTCTGGCCGGAGCGCCTGATAGAAGGCGCGCTGCCACTGCAGCCGGGCCATCTCAGAATCGGCAAGTACACGGGGCACACTGGCCATGGCTAGAAGTGGGCCACCCGCAGCACGTTGAACGCGGCCCTCCGCTCGCTCTAAGATGAACAGAAAGCTCGAGTCGAACCAGTGGGCCCAAACGGCGGCTCGCCAGTCTGGGGGATCGCATTCTTGCCGCAAGCGACGAAGGTCCTGCGCGCGGGCTGCCACTCGGAGCCCTCCTGCTGGAAGAGCTTCCCAATTGAACACCCTGCTTTTCGCGGCGTCGGCCCATGCCCGGAAGTCTATGAAGTCGCGGGCGCAGCGCGTGCACTGTAGCTGCGCGAGGCCCCGCAATGCGTCTGGGTGTAACCACCCGCGAGGGCCAGGCAGCAGATGGGCGAAAGCCCTGCGTTCGTGGTCCTCCCACGTGTCCGGGACGTCATCAAGCTGTGCGAGAAATGACACCACGGGGAGTATGTACGTGCTGTACGCCGCCAAAGACAGGGCCATGCCGCCCCCGATGGTCCTCCAGATTGCTGCTCGCTCATCGTCTTTGCGTAGCGCCTTAGCCCAAGATTTGGCCTGTCGCTCGGGCCCGATGACGAAACCGAGGTACACCGCCGAAAAGGATAGGCTGAAATCCCCCCAAGCAGGAGCGCAGGGACATTATCGAGCGCGCTCCGCCTCCACATCCACTGGATACTTCGGGATCCATTGAGATTTCCCGCGGTGCAGCTTCAAGCCGGAGACGCGGGCATACTCGTCGAACATCGGATCCAGAACCTGCGATGCATATGCACCATTGGGAAGGACAACGGCGAGGTCGTCAGCATATGCTCGCACCAGTGCTCTTGGCAGGGCGCGGGCGATTCGCCGAAGCAAGATGTCGTCGGCCACGGCGAACAATAGCGGTGATAGCGGGCACCCTTGCCGGATGCCCGAGTCCATCTTGAAACCGCTGAACCTGGCGCCGCCGACGGAAATGATGCACGTCGCGTCGCGGTACAAAGCGCGGATGAAATACAACGGCCAGGCCGGCCAGTCCAGCGATTCGAACAATTCGCGCATGAACTCCCTGCTGACGCTGGGGAACGCCGCCGCGAAGTCGAAGAGCACGGCCGAGGCGCGCTCTTCGGGGAGCGCGGCAGCCTGCATGCCCTCATCCATGTCCACGAGATTCGGCAGCATACTGCGCCCACCTATAAAGCCTCGTTGCATGTCTGGGCTTTCCGGGGCGAGGTGTGCCTCCACTTTGACCCGAACAGCGCCTGCGAGTAGCCTGTTGTCGGTGCTCGTGATGCTGAGTGGCCGGGTGTTCTCTGGCGTGTAGACTGGATCCCCCGCTGCGTCTACGCCGTCTGCTTTCTTAGGTAAGAACACCATGAGGCTCTCGTTGAAGTTCGGGTACTCCTGCTCGAGGGTGGCGAGGCCACTGGGGCCCCCGCAAGCGCGGAAAGCTTTGTGCAGCACGTCCGCGGCCAGCTCCTCGATAGCGCGCCATGCGCTGAATGGGATGCCATCCGGGCCCGGGGCCGACTGCGTGCCGAATCGCCTTGGTTATGTCGCCCCTGGCCAGCTCCCCGATCGGAAGGGCGGCGGTCTCGCGCAGCAGCCACTTGATCGGCGCGGCCCTCCCGAATCCATCGCTGCCGAGTTGTCTGACAGGTGGGGCGAGCTCGAAAATGCTGTTCCCAGTGCGTCCCTAGAGCCCCAGCCATGCCCTCCGGGCTAGTGTGCACCACGCCGTCGGTACT